TCGCCTTGAGCTGAAGAGCTGAGGGACAGCGCCCAGGCCCAGAGTTCAAGCCCCACGACTGACAAAAAAAAAAGTACTCAAGAGCTGGGCCCAGTTTGAAGCCAGCCTGGGCAGGAAAGTCCATGAGACTCTTATCTCCAATTAACTACCAAAAAAGCCAGAAGCAGAACTGTGGCTCAAGTTGTAGAGTGCTAGCTTTGACAGTGCTCAGGCCATCAGTCCGAGCCCCAGGTCAGCACAAAAAATAAAAGTATTCAAGAAAACTTGAGAAAAATAAATTTAGTAAATGTTTTAATACAAGACCTTATCTTTTTGAAATTATGTTTGTTTCTTAGGGTTTCACTATGTAGCCAAGGCTGGCTTTCAACTCATAATCCTCCGGCCTCTGCATTCTATGTACTAAGATTACAGTATGCACTACCTACCTGGTTCTAAAATAAAGATTTGACTTAATATATTTTATTACCTAGACATCTTTGTATAGATCTATGTCTTTATTTTACTTGCTGTATTTCTACAAATGGAAACTTCTAGGTCATACAATAATTCTACAATGAATAGTTGTATAAGGCAAGAAAAGAAAATTTTAACTGAATACAAATGAAAAGACAACGTATACAAATCTGTAAAATATAGGCAAATCGCTGATCAGAGGGAATTTATACATTTAAATAATAGTTAAAAAAAAAAGGTCCACAGTCAACCTAAGCTTCCACTTTAAGAAGCCCTGAAAAAGATAAGTAAATTTAACTCTAAAGTTTAAAGAAAACAAACTGAAAGATGGGCAAAGAACAGAAGATAACATAAAATTAGATGCTTTTAAAAATCAACAAAAATATGAAATTAGACAAAGAGACAAAGATCAAAGCCACTTTTAAAGAAGTGAAATAATTTCAGGATTTGCCATATACATATACGTATATATTTGCCATATATACACACATATATTGCTTAAGCAAAAACAAGTGAAGAAAGCATTCAAATTATATTTAATGGTATTAAAAGATTCTGTTCTTGTCAGTGGCTTACACTTGTAATCCTGACTACTCAGGAGGCTTGAGATTTAAGGATCATGCTTTGAAGGCAGCCCAGGCAGTAAAGTCTATGAGACTCTTATCATCAGTTAACTACCAATAAAAGCTGCAAGTGGAGCAGGGCTCAAGTGGTAGAGTGCAAAGGCTCAGGAACAGCACCCAGGCCCTGACTTCAAGCCTCAGGACTCTCATACACACACAAAAAAGATTCTTTAACAATATAAATATATAAAATCATAGAAGGAAAAATATACACAGGAATATTTGTATTGTCTTAGGGTACTTATGTTCCTATAATAAAACTCCTGCGGCTGGGTTTTATAAAAGAGGTTCATTCAAAAGAAATGTACATACCACCCAATGTGGAAGAAATAACTGTATCACAAAGCTCATAGAACTCATAAATATTATAGACTGTGATAGACAAATTGCTCCAGGAAAGTTAGAATGTGTTTGTGACTTTAACTGAGCATCACTATCCCACAATACTGTGAAATTTGGAAAATTATGTAAACACTTAATCACAGTAAAAAAAAAAAAAAAAAAGAGGTTCATTTAGCTCACAGTTCTGGAAGCAGGGAAGGTGAAAATAGAAGGCTTTCTACTACCTTATAATATGGTGAATGACATCAAAAGGCAGGAGTACTTTCAGGAGAGACAGTATATGCAGGGGACATGTAACACATAGAGTAGGCTTGCTTTGTAACAACCAGCTCTCAGGTAAGCAACACTGTATCACACAGGATGGGTACCAGCACCCTCTAAAGGTAGTGCCTGAGCTTGTTTGTACCCTAAGGGAGGCGTCAGCCGCCAACTCCAATGACCTCCCACAGGCCCTACCCATCTTCAGGCTTCCACCCAGTCTCACTATCATCACACAGGAATCCTTTGTGGTCTCGAGAAACCCATCACGTACCCATCACGTATTCTAGAAAGCCACGTAAACCTAATAATACTTGACAAAAGATTTTTATCTAGAATAAGGAATCCTAGCTCACTTTTATTTATTTATTTATTTTTTGAACAGCAGCATAGTCCAGCTTTTTAGCTCACTTTTATTAAAAAAGTAAACAATCCAACTTTCAAAACAGGCAACTTGAGTAGCTATTTGAACAGACATTTCATAAACAAAGGTAAACAGATACGCATATAAAATCATGCCTAACGTGGAAAAATGCATATTAACACCATAATGATATATTCAAAAAAATACCAAAAATGAAAAACCTGGCAACATTAAATGCTGACAGGATAAAACTAGACTTCTCATGCCTTGCATTGTGTAAATGTCAACTTCCACAACCACTTTGGAAATGTTCAGTAGTTTCTCAAAATTATACTTATTGTTAACCTAGCAGCTGGACTCCTTACTACTAACAGCAATAAATTGTCATGAACATGAGAATTGATAAGATAAAATTTTCTTAACAGTATGGATAAATCTGACATACACTGTGATGAATACTGTAACTCCCATTATAAGAAGTTCTGCTCAGAATACAATTGAAGAGAAGTCCATAAAACAACAGAATATGTCTGCCTATGGGTGCAGGGATGGGCGATGACTGGGAAAGGACACAGTGGCTAACCAGACATATCATTAGTCAAAATAACAGGTTAACACTTGAATACTTCAATGGTTTATCTCATGAGCAAAGAATGCTTAAAAATAAGAAGAGTAGAGAAAGTATAAAGAAAAGAAAAATGTCACTACAGTTCGTTACTGAAGTTATATAACAAGTATATGGGTACTTATACCATTCTGTTTACTTCATAGAACTGATAATATATTTTTTAAAGAATTGGTCATTGAATCAGGGCCTTGTGCTTGCTTAAAAAAAGAGAAAAAGAAGGGAAGGAAGGAAGGAAGAGGGGGGGAGGGAGGGAAGAAGGAAGGGGGAGAGAGAGAGGAGAGAGAAAGAAAGAAAGAAAGAAAGGAAGGAAGGAAGGAAGGAAGGAAGGAAAAAAGAAAAGAAAAAAGGAAGGAAAAAAGGAAAGGAGGGGCTGGGAAGTTGGCTCAGTGGTAGAGCACTTGCCTTGCATACATGAGGCCCTGGGTTCGATTCCTCAGCACCACATAAGCAAAAAGAAAAAAGCTGGAAGTGGCGCTGTACTAGCCTTGAGCTGAAGAGCTGAGGGACAGCGCCCAGGCCCAGAGTTCAGGCCCCACAACTGGACCAAAAAAAAAAGGAAAGGAAGGAGGGAGGGAGAAAAGGAAGTAGGAGGGAAGGAGGGAGGGAAAAGAAAGCACTCTGCCACTATTGCCTAATAGAACATAAACATTTAAATACATTTTTAACAAAAAAAAAAGGGGGAGGGGAGTTGTGATGAAGGCTCAGGCCTATAATCCTAGCTACTCAGGACGCTGAGATGTAAGGATCCTGGTCCAAAATGAACCCAAGCAGGAAAGTCTGTGAGACTCTTATCTCCAATTAAAAAGCTGGAAGTGGAGTTGTGGCTCAAGTGGTAGAGCACTAGCAGGAAGGGAAGGAAAGAGGGTAAGAAAGGGGGAGATAAGATAGGGAGGAAGGAGAGGGAAGGGGGAGAGAGAAAGAGAGAGAGAGAGAAAAGAAAATGTCATGATTCCAACAAACCAACCACAAAATTTTCAGGAAATAATCAAGAAATCTTGACATTTCACTAGGTACTAAATATTAAGAAACTAATAAGTTTCTGAAGAAGTATTTATTTAGGTTTTTATTTATTTTTGTCAGTCATGGGCCTCAATTCAGGGACTGAGCCCTCACTGCCCCTGAGCATTTTAGCTCAAGGCTAGTGCTCTACCACTTTGAGCCACAGCTTTACTAAATTCCAGTTTTTAGTTAGTTAACTGGAGATGAGAGTCTCACCGACTTACCTGCCCATGCTGGCTTTGAATTGTGATTCTCAGAACTCACATTTCCTGAGAAGCTAGGATTACAGGAGTGAACTACCAGTACCTGACTACCGAAGTTTTATTTTTAAATAAGTGTCCTTATCATTTATTGCTCTAACCTGAAGTATTTACAGATAATATCTACATCTTGCTTCCAAATTGTGGTGAGTGGAAGCATAAACACTATTGTCATGTGCTGTAAACTTCAGAGAACTGAGTCAAAATGATTTACTATCCTCCCTATTTTCTTATGTCAAATTTCCACAGTAAGGTCTACTGGCCACATCTGAAATTCCAGCACTCAGGAGGCTAAAACAAAAGAATCCTTGAGTTCAAAGCCAACCTGTGCAACATAATGGGATTCTGTCTCAAAAAATGGGTGACAGGCTGGGTGCCAGAGGCTCACGCCTGTAATCCTAGCTACTCAGGAGACTGAGATCTGAGGATCGCAGTTCAAAGCCAGCCTGGGCAATAAAGACTTTGAGACTCCTATCTCCAATAAACCACTAGAAAACCGGAAGTGGCGCTGTAGCTCAAGTGGTAGAGGGCTTGCCTTGAGCTGAAAGACAGCGTCCAGTCCCAGAGTTCAAGCCCCACAACCGCAAAAAAAAAAAAAAAAAAAAGGTGACACAGATCAAGATTAATTGTACACATAAATGGACAGGTTCAACTGAAACCTGTTTGTACAACTATTTTTTTTTTTTTTGGTCCGGTTGTGGGGCCTGAACTCTGGGCCTGGGCGCTGTCCCTCAGCTCTTCAGCTCAAGGCTAGCGCTCTACCACTTAAGCCACAGCGCCACTTCCAGCTTTTTTCTTTTTGCTTATGTGGTGCTGAGGAATCAAACCCAAGACCTCATGCATGCAAGGCAAGCGCTCTACCACTGAGCCACCTTCCCCAGCCCTGTACAACTATTTAAAGACAATAATAAAGAAGAAAAAAATCCATTATGGTCCAGGCACAATAGCTCGCACCTGTAATCCTAGCTACACAGGCCAGACTAGAAGATAACAGCCTAAGACAACCTAGACAAAAGTATAAAACCCTACCTGAAAAACAGCTAAGGAAGTGGCCATGAGGCTCAAGTGGTAGAGCACTTGCCTTGAGCTGAAGAGCTGAGGGACAGCACCCAGGCCCAGAATTCAAGCCCCACAACCGACAAAAAAAAGAAAGAAAGAAAAAGAAAAAAGTTAAATTTGGGTAGAGCGCTTGCCTTGCATGCCTGAGGGCCTGGGTTCGATTCCTCAGCACCACAAAAGCAAAAAGAAAAAAGCCAGAAGTGGTGCTGTGGCTCAAGCAGTAGAGCGCTAGCTTTGAGCTGAGGGACAGCGCCCAAGCCCAGAGTTCAGGCCCCATGACCAGACCCCCCCCTCCAAAAAAAAAAACAGCTAAAACCTTACAAGGGCTGGGAGCAAGGCTCAAGCAACAGAGTACCTGCAAAAGCAAGTGCGAGACCCAGAGTCCAAATTCTGCTGCCAAAAAAAAAGTAAAAAAATCCATCATAAAGACAAAAAAAAACCCAACAGTCTCATTGGAGTCTTTTTTATAGAATTCATTTTCAAATGTGTATACTTTTTACAGTTATCTTAAAGTGAAGGTACTACTGTAAACCACTCCTCCCTTATTTGAACAACATACACAATACTTAGAACTCTTAGCTGGCTTGTATTCATAGCAATATCACTTTTCCTTAGGTCTCTTATGCCTCTCATTTGGTGAATTTCCAGGTAAACATGTATTCTCACATTAAAAGAATAGAAAAAGTGCCAGGTACCAGTGGCTCACATCTATAATCCTAGCTACTCAGGAGGCTGAGAACTGAGCATTGTGGTTCAATGCCATCCCCAGCAGGAAAATCCATGAGACTCTTATGTGAATACCAGTCTTGAGCAAAAGGAGCTCAGGGACAGTGCCCAGGCCTCAAGTTCAAGCCTCAGTACCAAGCTTCCCCCCATCCCCCCACCCCCCCGCCCCAACACACACACAGAGAAAGGTGAATGGAAAAGCATCTGTGGCACCTTTCTACTAGTAAAACTCAACAGGACTTCTCTTGACAGCCAAGCAAGACCTGTACAGACCTGAAGTGGGCAGTAAGCTCCATGTGTGAACGCAGCATCTGGTGGCAGGCCACACACCTGACTTGAAATGGAACATCTTTGCACAGAGAGATCAAAAGCTTCTTTGCAAACGATGGAAATGATATTGGACGCGCCACTGGTTTGTTATCTAAAAGACAAAATAAACCATACCTTACAAAGTAATCTGAATGAGTGCACCTTTCCCTCTCCTTTTCTCAGCATCGGTTAGATTAAGAGAAGACAGTTGTTTATATAATGAAATATTATACAAATGATGTCTCATACTTAGAATGTAAGTCTTAAATGCAGAGAAATACTCAATTTCCAAGATATTATAAACATAATAAAAGTGTGCTAAATCTTTTCTGCCCAAATTGAAAAATAAATCTGATAGACATACTCATGGTTCTAAAACTAATGTAACAATAAGTTAACTTCAAGAATGATCTGAGATACAGTATGTTCACAAATAAAATTAAATTAAATTAAAAAAAAGAATGATCTGAGAAGTATGTATTATCAGAAGAGATATTAACATACCACCTAGTTTAAAACTTTGATGGAAATGATTCTTTCCGAACATATGCTTCAAACATTGATCTTTGTTGCTAAAAAGAAGAAAGCAACTTGGACATGCAAAACACTGAATAATCTGAGGTAGTAGGCTGCTGCTATGTGTGTCATCTGTAGCTACCTAAAACAGAAGGGAAAACTGTTGTTATGCACAGTTAAAAACAACATTTAATTTTTTAAAGGCTCTCAAATTTTCCATTTATTATTTTTCACCATTGCAACTACTGTAAGTACACAAAAAACAAAACCAGCACAGGGTAAAAACAGATGAGTTGAAGTACAGAGAAAACCAGGTATAAGATTCTGAAGAATCTTTTGTTGTTGTTGTTGTTGTTGGTCGTGGGGCTTGAACTCTGGGCTTGGGTGCTGTCCTTGCACTCTTCAGCTCAAGGCAAGCACTCTACCGCTTGAGCCACAGCGCCACTTCCAGTTTTCTAGTGGTTTATTGGAGATAGTCTCACGGACTTTGCTGCCCAGGCTGGCTTAACCGTGATCCCGGGCTGGCTTTGAATTGTGATACTCAGATCTCAGACTCCTGAGTAGCTAGGATTACAGGCGTAAGCCACTGGCACCTGGCAAGATTCTGAAGAATCTTTCTCAATGCAGTTATATAAAGGACACGCTAAATTCCTTTAGCAATAAGATAGCATAGGTGAACTGTGGCCTACTAAGAAAGTTTATCAGAAATTCAATGTCCAGAGACTAGCCCTGTGGGCACTCCCTGCCAAGTGTGTAGTATACTCTAAGGAAGGTGGGTGTTCAGCACAAACCATATTTTTACCAACAGTTTATGTGCCAGTGATTCCCTCATGAAAGAATGATGGAAAACTGGGCACTGGTGACACATGCCTGTAATCCTCACTGCTCAGGAGGCAGAGACCTGAGCATCATGGTTAAAAGCCGGACTGAGCAGGAAAGTCTGCGAGACTCATCTCCAATGAACCACTAAGAATGCTGAACTCATGTATTTTGCCAAGCAATGGTATTATTTTGCAATATGAATGTCATTAAATCATGTACAAAGTATAAATACACTAGTCCTTTAAATACTAGTGGTATTTTTTTTTGCCAGTCCTAGGGCTTGAACTCGGGGCCTGGGCACTGTCCCTGAGGTTCTTTTGAGCAAGGCTAGCACTCTACATTTGAGCCACAGCCCTACATTTGACTTTTTCTGTGCATGTGGTACTGGGAAATTGAACCCAGAGCTTCATGCATGCTAGGCAAGTACTCTACCAGTAAGCCACATTCCCAGCCAATGGTGGTATTTCTTAATAGAAGCATTTATAAAGGAGTTGTTACTACAATGAATGGTAATGTAATTACTTGAAGGTAAAGTAGTTAAGAATGGATTCAATTTCTCATCATGTGACCAATGGTTACAGCCTCTTGAACAAGATAATTTAATAGAGCACTTCCATGAAAGGGTTTCCATGGTGATCTCTAGGACTATTGGTTCTAGTTATCAAATCAATCTGCCCAAAGTAATTTAAAGAGGCCAAGTGATTTTGTTTTATACAATAATAATTTTTGCCCTTAGGTACATCAGTAGTGATTGTAAACTTAAACATGAAATAAACCTACAATCAACTCCATGATTATGTACAATATCTACACTTAGGAATGCTCTTACCTTATCAAAAAGATGATCCCTATATTGCTGCTGAGTAACGAAATTTTTATAACATACTACACAAACAAAGGAATTGGTCAAAGGTCCACGTAATGTAATTGTTGGATCACATGGAGAATGATCAAACCTACTTGGCAAAAGAGAAGGAACATTAGAAAGGTCTACACTCTAGAGGATGAACTATTTGTTTCATTTATGAAGCTATAAGCACATTCTCCTTCTCCTTTTCTCAAAACATTTTGCATGTCTCTACTGAACTACTAGATAATGTCAAATCAAGAACTAAGTGACTTCCAAGTGCCAATTCCCTCATGTCTAAATACTTAAGATGTCAGAAAAGTACTCAAGATCCAGTAAAATGGACTTAATAAATCATATCTTATCAAGCTAATAAACTTCCATTTAGAAAATTATAATATCATAATCTTTTTCCCCTTCTTGTTTTGATTACCTTGAGACACCCAACTATTCCAACAGTAATCTCATCCTGAGATGCTGGGCATGCGCTAGGGATATAACACTGTGGTATGTAGTGGTAGGACGTAGCAGCACTTGCTGAGCACAAGTGACAGCCATCTCAGTTCAATCCCCAGCACCACAAAAGTACAATGAATAAATAGTCCTCATTTCAAAGGCTCACTGAGTAAATTTGTGTCACATTATGCTGCCTCTAGACTTTTAAAAGATAAAGTACAGTACAAGTAAAGTGAACCCTACATTATCAATTTCCTATCTCTCAACTACTGGAAGGGAAAGGTGAAGAAAAGGTGCATTTTCTCAGTTTCTACTCTGAAAAAGCTCAGCAAATCGATAAGAGGTTTCCTACTTAGAGCATGTCTATATTTTTACTTTTGCTTACGTTGGTTTGCCCTAGTATTTATCTTACAATGCCCTATCAGCGTCTATAAAATAGACTAAATATCTGTGTCTCTTGAAATTTACTATTTATGAGACTGTATTTCTCTAAACAAACCTAACTGCATTTCCACATAAAAAGTCTATATAAAATTTTATGAGGGCTGGGAAGGTGGCTCAGTGGTAGAGGGCTTGCCTTGCATGCATGAGGCCCTGGGTTCGATTCCCCAGCACCACATAAGCAAAAAGAAAAAAAGCCGGAAGTGGCGCTGTGGCTCAAGTGGTAGAGTGCTAGCCTTGA